AGACCTAAATGTAAGACTAGAAACTATAAAACTCTTAGAGGAAAACATAGGCAAAACAGTCAATTACATAAATCAAAGCAAGATCCTCTATGACCCACCTCCTAGAATAACAGAAATAAAAACAAAAGTAAACAAGTGAGGCCTGATTAAACTTAAAAGCTTCTGCACAGCAAAGGAAACTCTAAGCAAGGTGAAAAGACAGCCCTCAGAATGGGAGAAAATAATAGCAAATGAAACAACTGACAAAGGATTAATTCCCAACATATGCAAGCAGCTCATACAACTCAATGCCAGAAAAACAAACAACCCAATCAAAAAGTGGGAAAAAGACCTAAACAGACTTTTCTCCAAAGAAGACATACAGATGGCTAACAAACACATGAAAAGATGTTCAACATCGCTTGTTATTAGAGAAATGCAAATCAAAACCACAATAAGATATCATCTCACACCAGTCAGAATGGCCATCATCAAAAAGTCTACAAATAATAAATGTTGGAGAGGTTGTGGAGAAAAAGGAACACTCTTGCATTGTTGGTGGGAATGTAAATTGATACAGGCACTATGGAAGACAGTATAGAGATTCCTTAAAAAACTAGGAATAAGACCACCATATGACCCAGCAATCCCACTCCTAGGCATATACCCTGTGCAAACCAAAATTGAAAAAGACACATGTATCCAATTGTTCATTGCAGCACTATTTACAATAGCTAGGACATGGAAGCAACCCAGATGTCCATTGACAGATGAATGGATAAAGAAGTTGTGGTACATATACACAATGGAATATTACTCAGCCATTAAAAGGAATGCATTTGAGTCAGTTCTGTTGAGGTGGATGAACCTAGAACCTATTCTACAGAGTGAAGTGAGTCAGAAAGATAAAGATAATAATATTTATCTTCTAACACATATATACGGAATCTAGAAGAATGGTAGTGAAGAACTTATTTACAAGGCAGCAAATGGAGAAGCAGACATGGAGAATAGACTTATGGACATGGGGAGAGGGCAGGAGAGGGTGAAACGTATGGAAAGAGTAACATGGAAACTTACACTACCGTATGTAAAATAGATAGCCAACAGGAATTTGCTGTCGGGCTCAGGACACTCAAACAGGGGCTCTGAATCAACCTAGAGGGGTGGGGTGGGGAGGGAGGTGGGAGGGAGGTTCACAAGGGAGGGGGTGTATGTATACCTATGGCTGATTCATGTTGCGGTTTGACAGAAAAAACAAAATTCTATAAACCAATGATCCTTCAAATTTTTAAAAAAAATTGTTGTTTAAAAAGACACTTATCTTTGTGGTGTCCCCAGGAGACCACGCAATAGAGAACACAATAGGAGTATGTGTGACAAATGAAGTGGGGATATAGAAGGGAATTTGGATGTTGGTGGAGGCAAGATTTGGGGTCTTCACTTCCAGTGTGCCTCGTAGACCAAATGCCTTTCTTGAATTCTCCTCTGACAGTGATTCTCCTTCCACACTCCAGAAATCTGACTCCTGGTCCAGAGATCCTGACTTGTCCGTTTCCCCATGACTCCCAGAGCCCAGGTTGGCCCGGATTCTAGACAATGACCCCCACTGGCATCAGAAAGACTGGATCAGCAGTCAGCCCCTTGGCCAGCAGTCAGTGCCTCTGGCCTCCCCCAGTGTCACACCACATCAGGAGCAGGCAGGCCCAGGCAGGGGCCATGCGGCAGCTCCCCGGCTGGGCTGAGAAAGTGGACATTTCTTGAGAATCTACTCAAAATGCATGTGCCCTGACAGAGCATGTTCTCCAAGACATCACAGGGATTCTGGGGCCCAATCAGGACACTTCCCAGGCTTGTAGCAGCCAGATGCAAACACCTCTGACTTGCAATCCCACCGCCAGAGTCTCAAGAACAGAATTAAAGTCTTCCTTAGAGAGTGAGAATCACCCTGCGTGTAAGTGGGTAAGAAAAATCACTACCGCCTCCAATTTTTTTTATTGGAACATCTGTTTTCTCCCACAATACCATTCAACAAATCCCAGCAAAGGGGAGCTACTAAACTGAAAAATAATTATTAAATGATCTACTCATCTCTGGCTCTGGAGATTAGCGGGAGAAATGAGACACATTCACAAGAGGATGCTCCTCTTTCTGGAGAAAGTCAATCACTCTGTAGATGTCTCTGGGCTGTGATATTGAGCAAGATTCTCCAGGAGCGACTGAGAAGGGTCCTCCACAGCTGGCAAGGAGAACCATCACCACTCACCTGGCATTGCCAAATAGTCCAGATATGGGACCTCTGCTCACAGCTAGCAGAGGGCTGTTCTTATTTCACCCAGGCAATATATGGCAAACTCCACATAAAAGGACCGAAGAATAAAAAGAGGGTTGTTTTTTTTTCTAATAAATATTCTTTTGCTGCTAATCCACCCTTTGTAACTGTCAGGCTTCATGGAGCTGGCACTGAGCCCATCAGATAATAATGCAGCTGTGATCTGAGAAACGTGAGAAGAGGAGCCGATTAATAAAGATGAAAAACATGTTTGGTAACTGTGTCTGTGGGGAGGTCCAAGGGGAGTCTTCAGAGGAGTTATCCTGGGAGCTCCAGGACCCCAGATCCAGTGCCACCCAGAAGCCGGGGCTACCCCACAGACACAGGGGTCAGATGCAGAGTCCTGAGAGCAGGCAGCTAGTTTCTCTAACTTTCTGCCCTGCGCCTTCCTGAGTCGGCTTAATGGAACATGGATACAGCGTGACAGAGGAATCCCACCACAAGGCACATGCTTCTGGTACTTCCCCCACCCCAACACAGCATTAGGCTGAAGACACACGTCTCCAGGGAGGCAGCCCAAGGCAGTAGCACGCTCTTCTCCTGCTCTCTGACAAGCCCCCAGCAAGCAGCCCCATCCAAAGGTGAGGCTGCAGAGGGATTTGACCAAAGGCTGTGTTTTCCTAACCAAGAGTTAGGACAAGTGACCTGACAGGCAGTTAAGATGGCGCGGTCAAAACAGAACACTTCTGACCCTGAAACTCTGGGTTTTGTATGAATGAAAGAACAGAGAATGGAAACACTGGTCGTCTAGGCTAAGTGATTTGAAAAGGACTATTCCATAGATTTGACGCCTCTACATCTTTCTCCACTTTTCCTTCCTCCGTCATCATCTGTGATTCTATCCTACAGAAATGTCTGCCCCAGGCCAGCCCCCAGGATTTCTCCAAACCCTATCACACTGCTCCTGCTGCTTTTCCCTGAATCTCTGTCCCATGAGCCAACCCATCCTGCACTGACCACGGAGCTTTGGGAGTCTCCAACCAGGCACCCCCTCCTCCCTTCAGGAGGAACTGGGGACTATGGGCGTGGCCCACAGTCACCACGCTGGGACAGTAGACAGTGGGGAGTGCTGGCATCATCAGTGCTGCTCATCATCCTTTTAAACTTTGGCCCAGAGCCCCAGAACCCCAGGACACAGAGCCCAGAATCTAACCCTTTATTTTGACTTTCCTCTGCAGTTTTCAGCTATGAGGGAGTTACCCCCAGCTGGGCATCAGCTGTCTGGAACAATTCTGGAGGAGTGGGAGGACAAGCATTCATTCCATCCCCCGGAGGAGTAGCCTAGAAAGACAGCAGCAGGAGCCACAGGAAGAGTCCTAGGAAGACATGCGAGGGTCTCTGTAGCTCAGAGGAGAGCCAGTCGTGTGACAGCCCGCTGTCAATAGTTCATCAAAATCATAGTCACTGTGGTAGACCACTCACTTTGTACTGAGCACTGTTCTAAACTTCTTTTATCAACTAATTCGTACCAGCTTCACAACAGCCTTCTTATTTTATGGGTGGAAGTAAATGTCAAATGGGCTTCCCAGGTGGCACTAGTGGTAAAGAACCTGCATGCCAAAATGGGAGATATAAAAGAAGTGGGTTTGATCCCTGGGTCAGAAAGATCTCCTGGAAGAGGGCAAGACAACCCACTCCAGTATTCTTGCCTGGAGAATCCCATGGTCAGAGGAGCCTGGCGGGCTACAGTCCATGGGATCCCAAAGAGTCGGACACAACTGAAGTGACAACACACATGGATGCAAACATCACATAATATAAACTTCACCATTTTAACCGCTTTAAAATGTACATTGACATGACATTCAGGACATTCACAATGTTACACAACCCTATCAGATTCCAGAACATTTTTATCACCCCCGAAAAGAAACCTCAACACACCTTTTAGATGATTACAATAACCTACATCTGAGGTCGCTCCCTCTATTGGCGAAGCTTCACATCACACTTGCCGGAGCGAGAAAGGCTCGGGGTCCAGTCAGAGCCGCAGAGCAGGTAGGGAAGGTGAACGTGTTGCTGACTGGCAGTAAACGGATTACTGGCACATTACTCACATTTTACACACGAGAAAAGGCAGCTGGGAGGTTAAATAACTTGCTCCAGGTCATGAAGTTACTGGCGAAGCCAGGCTGTCTGACTCCAAAAGGAGGCAGATACTTCTGTCTGGAAGATAGCAAAGGCTGACCGCAAAGACGCTGCAGAGCCTCTCGTGAACAGCACAGATAAGGTTCCACGAACTCGCTGACCAAATCTGAGGCTCTTAGGAGAAAGGGTCATTTATAGCGCTGTGAACCAGGAAACTTGAGTGGAGGCACTCAGGAAGAGAGAAAACCTCTGAAATTCACTAGCTGTGAAAGTCACAGTTCATCTAATTAGGCCAAGATTTGCAGGAGACGGTAACCAGCCCTGGCTGAGGGAAGTAAGTGCTGGGGCAGACGGAGAAGACGAGGGGTCCGCGTCCGACCTCAGCTCTCCTCCAGCCGGTCCCACTGTGCGTCTCCTAACTTCCCAGCTCACGTTCTCCGCTCGAGTCCTGGTACATCCCATTAGTCTTTCTCGGCTCCCTGCCCTTGTTTCTTTCGCTTTGTTTTCCACCTGGAGAGCATCCCCCTCTCCTCTTAACTTATCTAAACCCCACTCCTGCTGGTTAGCACAGGCCTCAGTGAGGTCTTTTTTCTGAATGCAGAAAGTGCATAACAACAACAGGATCAACACTTCGGAGGCCATTGCTAAGGTGGAGTCCACGGTGCTGAACGTTTTCCAGGGCATGACCGCCTTCTATCCTCACCAAGGAGCTGGGTGAGGCAACCAAGATCTAGAGAGATGGCATCTGCAAAGTCATGCAAGCACCAAGGGGGCAGAACCAAGATGAGAATCCTGGTCTTAGTGATTCCAGAACTAACCTCTTGACCCACAGTGCTCAGTCGCTCAGTCATGTCTGACTCTTTGTGACCCTGTGGACAGTAGCCCGCCGGGCTCCTCTGTCCATGGGAATCTCCAGGCAAGAATGCTGGAGTGGGTTGCCATGCCCTCTTCCAGGGGATCTTCCCAATGCAGGGATCGAACCCCTGTCTCTTGCGTCTCCTGCATTTGCAGGTGGATTCTTTACCACTAGTGCCACCTGGGAAGCCACTAACCTCTTAATCACCATATTAAAGAGCCTCTCAACTGTGTCAGCCACCACAGTGTAGCTCCATCATGGGGAGCTAATGTTTCCTTCCTCCCCACATACTGACCTTTCCTTCCCACCAGACTACAAGCTCTCCTAGGGCAGGCACCATGATATAAGGCAGCTCAGCGTAGAGCTTCACATTCGGATTCCTCTCCTTTTCTTCTGTTCCCCTGTAGTGTCCACATCAGTAACAAAATATTTCCATATCCAGAAGCACAAATGAATGGACTTATATGAAGGGAAGACTCACTGATCTTTGTACCCTGACCCAGAGCATAAGGGAAGACTGTGGTTTCAGTAGGGCTTCGCAGGTGGCTCAGTGGTAAGGAATCCACCTGCCAATGCCAAGAGACACAGGAGACATAGGTTCGATCCCTGGGTGGGGAAAATCCCCTGGAGGAGGGAATGGCAACCCATTCCAGTATTCTTTCCTGGAAAAACTCCATGGACAGAGGAGCCTGGTGGGCTGCAGCTCAAGAGGTCACAAAGAGTCAGACACGACTGAGTAGCTGGGCATGAACACAGTGGTTTCAGTATTGTGTTGAGAGATGAACCGAGGAGAGGAAACTACAGGGCAAGAGTTACATGCTGCTTTGTGGCTGGCCTAGAGCCCCGGCCAGCTATTAATGCCACCCTAATAATAAGAACAACTCCTATCTTTAGAGCCCGTGGTGTATGTCAGGTCCTGTCAGCACTGAATTTGTAATAGCTCATAAGTCCACATACCAAGCTTTTGAGATAGGTTCTGCTATTATCACCGCTTTGTAGATGAGGAAATTAAGACTCAGAAGAAACTTTCCTAAAGGTTTGTAGCTGCTAAATGGTAGAGTTGGGATTTAACCCAGGGCTTTCTAATTCCAAAACTAGAACGAAGGGAAGGACCCCCCAAAACCTATTTAGGGAACAGCACCTCTCAACGAAGTTCAAATATTCAAACTTCCCATGCTATCAAACATTTACTATTTCTAAACAGATGGTAATTGACTCACAGAAGATATGGCCACTGCGGTCGAGAGGCTAATAATTTAGACAAGAGGACAGATGAAGGGAAAGAAGGAAGATACAGGACAAACAGCAGGTCTGGACAGCAAGGAGATGGGCTGCCTTGTAAGGGAACTGATGGGAGTGGAGAAGAGCTTGGGAAGTTTAGGTAAGGGATCTGATTAGACAACTTCTAAGTTTCCTTCCATAAGCTGATAATTCTGTGATTCTGTTAATTGGCTGACAGTCAACAGGAAATGTAGGAACTTAACTCTAGCGAAGTTCGGAGGTTAGGGCACACGTTATACCATCAGCATGAAAGACGTAGATGTTGTCACAAAGTGTGGCTCGGGTTCCCAGCGGAGGACACGAGAGGGGTGTGGGCAGAAGCCAGAGATCTGAGAGCCAAGAAGTCTGTGGAAAAGGAAGGAGAAGGAGAAGAGGAGGAGGAAGGGAGGGGGAGGGGAGGGGAAGAAACAGAAGGTGGGGAGGGGAGGGGAGAAGGAAGGAGGGGGGAGAAGAGGGAAACTCGGACACCAGTTAGTCCAAGGACGGCAGCAAAAGAGAGAATGGCTCAGCACAAGTCAGGAAGCACTTGTAATCACTTACTCTTCATGCATTCGACATTCTATTCATCCAGCAAACACCACTGAGTATTACTGTGAGCCAGGACTGTTCCTGGAGCTGGAAAGCAAGGTGAGCACATAGGTAAAGCTTGTCTCTCGGGCACTAATGCTCCTGTTCAAAGCTTATGAACAAGACATTTCATTGTGGGTGACATGAAAGAATGGAGATCATGGTCCCTACACCCAAATCACTCAAAGCCAGTCTGTGGATACTAAACCAACACAAGGCGAGCTAGATTGCAATCCAATATTCAAATAAGACGTGAAGAAAGTAACAGACAGGAAAGAAACTAACAAGCCGAAGTTTTGTCCTACCGGGTGGAAGAGACAGGGGCACATTTGGCGGCAGGGAGGTATGCCAGTCAAACTTAATTACACACGGCTCTATGCTGTTTAAAAAACATAGACTTTCATAGTCCTCAGAAACTGAATCTTACTACCACTACTTCTCAAGTGATATAGCTGTCCCTCCTAGGAGTAGTTCTAGAAGTCTTGTCATCGCAGCTGGGCCAAGCCAGGCAGACTTCCCGGCAGAGGAGGCAGGAAAGAGATGGTGTCTGTCCTTCATAAGCCAGCATTTATTGCTCACAATAGGCCAGGGATATAAAACAGTCCTAAAATGTACATCAGTGATAAGAGGGACCTATCTGATCATCCAACCTGATTTCCTTGTTTTACAGTTGAAGAAACTGAGGTGTGGGAACATGAAATGGTTTGTCTATGGTGAATTAGTGGCCACTGGCAGACTCAAACCCCAGTTTCCCAGAGATCCCTCTTCCTCCAGATAGAAAAAGGACCATGTATCCAGGAAGGGGCGGGAGGCAGGGAACCTCTGAGGTCCTCACCAGCCCTATCCCAGGATGATATCACTATTCACTCCCTCCCCTGTTGCTCACCCTACATCACTCCCATTGCATCCGCCAGCCCAGCTCTGGGATCTCACCTGGCAGGCCTCTCAAGTTCAGACCTCGCCTGGTCCTGGGACTGACTCTCCAGCAAGATGCAAATCAGAGGAGCTGGTGCAGGCTTCCCCAGGGCTGCCTAGTTCTAACCAGAACCCAAGGGTAGCAAGATGAGCCCTGAAGAATTCAAAACCTGTCTGAGGTTCTCAAAGCAAATAGAGGCGAGGACACCAGGCCACGGACAAGGGCAAAAGGCCTCTTTGGTGGTTCCCTTTGCTGGAATGCACCAGCACCACCCGGGGCTGGAATGGAGACCCAGAAACCAGCCCCAGTCATCTCCACGGGGCCAAGAGCAGCTCCACGCCCCACTCTGCCCTCGAGGACTCAGACCCAGGATACCCAAGGGTGGCGATGGAGAATCCAGGGCCTCGTGGGGGTAGGTGGTGACTGGGGAAGGCCCACGACCACCACCACATGGGGAAGCAGGAGAAGGGCTCTAATTCTCCCAGACGGAGATAATAATTCTCCCGGGAGAATTCTTCTCCTAGAGATTGTGCCCTGACCTGAAAGAGCAGCTCCCCAGAAATGACACTTGAGGAGCTGGCTCAGGGCCACAAGAGCATATAGCTCCGGGTTTTATTTCCCCTTTATAAATGGAGGCAGGGGAGGAGAGGAATTCTTCAGCTGAGTAACACAATACCTCTGGGTTCGGCCCACTGGGCTTGGTCCTGGGAAGAGCAAACAACCTGGCAGCCCTGTCCCCGCAGGTTTGTGGACGCCAGCCCCCAGCTGCCACTCACTGCCCTGGGGCGTGGACGAAGGGGAGGGGAGTCTCCCAGCTCTCCCCACTCTCCTAGGGATGTTGAAGGAAGACTGCAGTCCAGCCCTCAACCTCCAGGGGAAGGCCAGGCCCAGGGTTCAATGCCACCAACCATCAAATGTAACTCTGTACCCCCACCCCTTGCCATCTCAGTTCCCACCTTCCCCACTGACCCAGGCCCCCAAACCCAGCTGCCAGCCCAGGGTTTCTTCCCCAAAAGCCTCTGCTCAGGCAGGGAGTACCCCCCCAACCCCCGCCTCTACTGATGGACCTGTGTTCTGCACCTCACAAGCCAGGAGTGAGCACCCGTGATCCAAACAGTCAGCCACAGCAGTAAAATGTTAATAGCAACCAGTGTTCCTGCAGAATTCAGCCATTGACAAGATACTTTTTACGGATATCAGCTTTCTCATTTTTGGACGGCATCACCCACTCAATAGACACGAGCCTGAGCAAACCAGGAGATGGTGAAGGACAGTGAAGCCTGTCCCTCTGCAGTCCATGAGGTTGCAAAGAGTCGGACGACCAAGCGACTAAACAGCAACAACAACCTTCTAAGTCAGGCATCATCGTGTCCCCATTTTACAGACTGGAAAGTAAGAGGCTGAAGTGACCAAGTCAGAATCTGAACCCAAGCCACTGGACTCTCTGTGTCACAGCCCATCCACAAGCCCAGCCACCTGATCGCTGGTGTCAGTGATCTGCAGAACGAGTTAGGACAGATGCTGGCTCTGCATCCCTGGCCTTTCAAAGCCAGCAGCTGGATGAATGGGAGGCTCTCACCTGGCAACCTGAGGGCTCCGAGCCTCGCCTGGCCCCCAGGCTCCAGCCCCCCGCCCCCCAGCAGGTGCCCCCTCACCTCGCCCCGCTGCCCTCCCTGCCGCGCTCCCAGCCGGGCCCGCGCCCTCTGTGCGCTGTTTGTTTTGCTGAGTGTTTCCGTTGGCTCGAGTGTGGGTGTTTGTTGTACTTTTCCCGCAGATGGCAGACAGCGTGCCCTCCCCACCATCGCCCCACCCTGGGGGCTGTGTGGAAGCAGACGCCACAGGCAGAACAAAAGCCTAGCAGCTGAACAGCCTGTCTGCCAGCATCTTTTATCCAATCCAAGTCCAGACACTATCTTGACAAAATTCCTTTTAACTCCTCCAGCATCTGGGACTCTTCCGGCCTGGCTCCCATCCGTCTGGAGCCCCCCACGACTTCCCCCACCCTCACAGAAAACATCTGCTCCTCTGATGGGGCAGGACACACTGTTGCAAAAAGCACTTTGGTTTGGGGTGGGGGGGTGGGGAATGGGAGGT